CCAGAGAAAAATATTCTAAGATTAAAAAATCATTTTACAATACAAGAGAAAAAAGTTAATAAGTTGAAAAGTAGAACAAAAGCTATCGAAATTAGAATTATAGCAGATAATTTTAGCATTTTTATAAAAAGGAATTTCCGCTCCCCCGGAATGATAAAAATTTTCATTGCTAGATCATGAGAAAGTTAATTAATTGTAATTGCAATAAAAATTTTACATATAAAGAGGGATATTTGATAACGAATAGTTAAGATTTGAAGTCAAGAGGACATTTTATAACAGTTAAAATTTAAATTTGAAAGATAGAGAACATGTGTTAAAATAAAGGATCAGCAAGAGCAAGAAGCAATAGTGAAATAATTTTATAAAATTACGAGATTAAGGCCAAGGATAGTGCTAAGAATCAATTAAGAAGTCAGGAAAGAGTAAGCTAAGAGTAAGATACTAAAGATTAGACACATAATTAAAAAATTTACATAAAAATTAGGTTTTGAACATAAAAGTTCCATGCTGTTGAGCATTTAAAGGCATAGAGGCTAAGAAGGAACGATTGTTGAAGACACGAAATAAAGAATAATTTAGGCTTAGTAGCTTGGTGAGTCTTTTTATTCTATTCAATTGATATCTTAGATATTCTTAGATAAGGTTTCCAAAAGTGAAATTTTTTATAATTGCCAACAACCAAGAAGGAAATACATTTTCAATTTTGGACTAGGGGCGACCCTAGTCAAAATCAATTTTGTCACTTTTTCCTTCGAGGGTTTTTCCAAATGGATTGAAACTTTGCATAAATATTCTAGTGCTTAAAACAAATACAAATAAAACATCCTAAAATTGTTTTGAGCAAAGAACCAAGTAGGAAATACATTTTCAATTTTGGACTAGGGGCGACCCTTGTCAAAATCAATTTTGTCACTTTTTTCTTCGAGTGTTTTTCCAAATGGATTGAAACTTTGCATAAATATTCTAGTGCTTAAAACAAATACAAATAAAACATCTAATAATGTTTTTGAGCAAAGAACCAAGTAGAAAATACATTTTCAATTTTGGACTAGGGCGACCCTAGTCAAAATCAATTTTGTCACTTTTTTTTTCGAGGGTTTTTCCAAATGGATTGAAACTTTGCATAAATATTCTAGTGCTTAAAACAAATACAAATAAAACATCCTAAAATTTTTTTGAGCAAAGAACCAAGTAGGAAATACATTTTCAATTTTGGACTAGGGCGACCCTAGTCAAAATCAATTTTGTCACTTTTTTCTTCGAGGGTTTTTCCAAATGGATTGAAACTTTGCATAAATATTCTAGTGCTTAAAACATATACAAATAAAACATCCTAGAATTTTTTTGAGCAAAGAACCAAGTAGGAAATACATTTTCAATTATGGACTAGAGGCGACCCTAGTCAAAATCTAGTTTTTCATTTTTTTCTTCCAAGGTTTATCCAATTACAGTGAAACTTTGTGTGAGTATACTAATATTTATACAAAACAGTTTTAAATATCTAAAGCAAGAAATGTATTCTTTATGTCGTCAGACCCAAATTTTATAAATTTGGTTGTACATTCAAAAACAACGTTACTCAAAATTTTGTCCAAAAAAATGATTTTTATTAATTCAGAAATGTGTGACCTGAGGATTAGAATGCTCATACAAAGTTTTACTGTATTTGGATTTATCCTCGAAGGGAAAAAGTGAAAAACGAGATTTTGACTAGACCTGTCCCAAGTTCATAATTAAAAAGATGTATTTCTACTTGGTTCTTTGGTCAAAAAATTTTTTTGGATGTTTTATTTGAATTGACATAATTATGACATAAATTCGGTATAACTTTTGAACTGTGTAGATATGGGTCTCGGCCGTACTTCACGCCCACCCTTCAAACTTATGCTGAACAAATCTTGGTCTATCCATAAGACTTTTGATGGTACGGTGTGAATATATCCGCATTGGGTTTCTACCCGATACACTAGTTTCCCATTGAAATTCAAATAAATGAAGCCATTTATGTGATCACTTACTTTCCCTATCCACACACATCTATTATAAGAGTAAGAATAAAATTCCCATAACAGTATAAAAATCTGTAAATTTTGTTCTGTATAAAAACAACCTTTCTCCATGCTGTCGTTCTATTATTCAACTTTATTCTATCTATTTTTCATATTAACTGCTGGTGTTGCTTGCTCATTATTATTGTTATGGGGTGCCGGTACTAACAGCTTCTGATGCTGCCCAACCTTTTATAATTTAACATTAAATTGACATAAAATATTCAGTAAGTCATGCATGAAAATAATTTTTATGCTTTTCATTCCCTCTTCTAACTTTTTACGAGAAAGAATCATGTTTTCTCATTTGGGCTGCTTCAGAAGCGGATAAAGGCTCTTGTTGAAAACATTTTGTCCATTTATTATTCAGATTTTGTGGTTTTGAAATTAATCAAACGTCAATCACTTGAGGTTTGGCTTTTAAATTTGGTGACAAAAAGGCTCTGAACTATTTTTTTTAAACTTCATTGAGGTTCTTGTTAAACTGATTAAGTTAGGTTTAATTTTGGATAAAAAAGTTTTAGTCTATGAATATTTTTTGAATAAGGATTTTCGTGTTGATAAAATATTATTGAGTGATTTTGGATTCTGTAGTTTCTATGGTTTTAAGAAAGAAGCTATTAAAAGTTTGTCTGTTATGTTGAGATTCTTTAGGCCAGTTTCTAAGGCTACACTAGTAACAATCAAACTTTATTTACATATAAAAAGTAAAATCAGATTTTTCATTCATCTATGATCCCCAGGAGCTTTTTAAAACGAAATAAATTTTTTGGACTTCAACTTCCTTTTTCAGTGATGGATCGTCACTTAGACCCCCCCCCCCCCTCCCCCTAATCCTTTTATAAGTATTTGTTATCTTTTGCTTTTTTCCGATTAAAATAGAATCAGGGCTAAAGCTAAAGTGTGTTCAGCCAATCTAGTAAAATCTTACAATCTATTGCTGAAATATAAAACAATGACGAGCTTGGTTTCTAGTTAAGTTATAAAAAAGCTTCATATTCTCCAACCATAAAACTTCCTTACTTTAGATTTTTCATACCTCCCATAATTCTTTTAATATTATTATTACTATTGCTGTTATTACTTTATTAAAATTTCATGTCCTTCACCAAAGAAGACATCAAGTAAGAAATATGTAATTGAAAAATTTGCATTTTTCATGCCGAGAAGAAATGAATAAAATATCGTCCATAATATTCATATTTTTTTTATTCACTCTAGTCCTTCCATCTGAATTATTGCTTTGCAAAAAACATTAATCTTCAAAAGGTAATCATAGCAAATATGTTGGAAAAAAAATCACTTACACGCCCATCAAATAAATCTTCTTGCTTCTTCCTTATTTGCCGGTAATCAATTTTTCGGCTTTATTTTTTGGAACTTCTAAGAAAAAGGAAATTGTTTGCATGCTTTTAGCAAAAAATCTAGAAAAATTGAAATCAGAAAATGAAAATGTCAGCACGAAGATGATGTTGAAGATTCTGGTAAAACTGATAGCAGAGAAAAATACATAATCTACCTATTTTTGTATTCAACACAACAATTTTTCAATAAATCACCAGAAAATTGAAAGGTATTGAGAATAAAATACGTTTTTTCCTCACCAGTTTCAGGCTTCATTATTGCTAGCAGAGAAAGCAAAAAACAATAAAGCATTGTAGTATAAAAGGAATCGTTTATAAATGATGTGCAGTATGACGTTGTGTGGGTGAAAAAGTCGTTTTTTTGCGTAACGTAATAAGTGAACGGTCCCAGAAGAGTTTTTGATCAAATTAATATTTTAAAGTTTCAGGAAGTTGTATTAATTGAGGACTCTAGATAAAAAAAACCAAAATCATCTGTGCCAGAAAAAGACAGAAGGCTTCTATTAGTCACAATTTTTTAAAAGACGTCAATTGTGAACAGCCCCACAAAAATGTTCAATCTTTTCTCTTTCAAGTTCAATTTGCTGAAATGAAATGAGAAACATTGAGTGCTTCTTAATGATGATTTAAAATAAGGGCATGATTGAATGAGATTTTTCTGCTTCCACTTCCTCCAATTCCTTTCATTTTTTTTGGTGGAAGACGAAAGCAAGCAGCTTTCAAGTATTGATAAAATGAGTTTATAGTAGATTTAGAAGTATAATTAGAAAATTCGGTAGATAATTAAGAGAGAGGTTTGAAGTATTCTTGTTTGCATAGATTGACGACGAATTTTATTTTATTAGAGACAATTTAGTGGCTGAGAATACTTCAAAAGATGAAGTTCTTAATACACAGTTTTTTGGTCGCTAAACAAAGACAATTGAGTTTGCGACAGAAAGCGCGAGGAATTTAATGTATTCAAAATTAAGGATATTTAAAGAATCTACTTTGAGTAAGACGCTATAGATTTAGTGGCGTTGCCAAGGGGTGTTTGGGTTCTCACTCCTCCCATCATTACCAAAATATGGTTCAAATAAAATAATAGAGATTTTAAAAATAAGTGCCTATATAGACAAGTCTCCTTTTCTCCATTCCAATTTTCTGTTTAAATTTAGAGTCCTCAATTAATACAACTTCCTGAAACTTTAAAATATTAATTTGATCAAAAACTCTTCTGGGACCGTTCACTTATTACGTTACGCAAAAAACGACTTTTTTCACCACCCCCCCCCCCCCTCCCCCACTTGTTACAATATGTTACAACTCACAACCCCCCCCCCCCAATTTGATAATTTTTTATGGGTAGTTATTAAGAACATTTAAATTTTTAATTCCCCCCTATGTTACATTTTGTTACAACTTTTCAAACCCCCCTTCCCCCTAAAATGCGAACGTAATAAGTGAACGGCCCCTCTGCAATTCAACAATTTAAATTTATTCATTTCACAAAATAATTTTAAATAAAAAACTTTACAGCAATCTGATTCTCAGCCAGATGTAAGAACAACAAAAAAAAAAGAGACAGAAAGAACACCAAACAAAACAAAAAACTTTTCACTTTATTTATTGTTCCTTTCCAAAAGTTTGTATTTCCTTAGCAATTATTCGGTCTGTCTAACGTGTGAGAAAACGAAAAGAATGAAGGAAGAAATACAATGCAAGAGATTTTCATTCTTTTGTCAATTGGGATAAACTGCAGTCGTAGATTATTGCAATAGTGAAGAAGAAAAATAATTTTTCCGTTCTCCCACTTCTTTATTTTCCGTTATTTCCCATCACATTCCACAAATCTCTTATCGTATATCCATCTCGGAGCTTTTCCATAGCAAATCCTAACAATAATAACAGAGAGAATAATGTGTTTGTATAGAAATATTTTTAAAGCACTAAACATCAATTCATTGTGTTTTGTGGGGGTTCTAAGGAGGAATAATGTTGGGTGAGCTTCCAAAATATTGTTTTCATTTTATTATATAAGAATTGAAGCAAAAGACGTGAAAAATTAAGCAAAATGTGGAAAAATGACTAGGAAAATTTTAAAACTCAAAGCTTATAAATGTTTAATATGATCGTTCCTTTTACTTCTCTTCGTTATACATGGAAACCCCCAAAACAACATTCTCTCCTTCTTCTCGCATATGTAACAAGATAGAACTGACAGATTTATCGAGACAAACCAAAATTGTATATTTACAGCACATATTTACCTAACTCTTTACAATAGAATGGTTCTCGACGATTCTCATTGTCACCTTCTCTCAGATACATGGTAAATTTACTGTTAATTTCACTTGATGATGCAACATCTATTTCTGCAATATCATCTATTTTCAAAAGATCGTCTTCCTTTTCCTGTGGGTTTTACAAAGAGAGAATAGTTTGTTATTCAAGAATGGCTAAAAGCTATTCAGCACTATGTGTTGATGTTATTAATTTACCTTTACGTTTCTATCGAAATTTACTCCAAAAATTGGTGTTTCACTATAGACTGTGTATAGTGATAAAATTTCCTTATAAACATCATGCAAACGCTCTGAAGGATCGATTCGAAAGCCCAAAACATAATTTCCTATAATACCACAAAGAATTTTTCATTAGTTGGCTTTCGTGTGTACCGCGTATCATGATGAGTTATAAAATATTTAATGGACAAAGGCCACGTTCGGTGCTTGCAATCTTAATTACATATTACTCACCTGCAGTTGATGCTGTTTGAATTACTAAAGCTAAGCCATATTTAGATTCTCTCATGCGAACGCTCGTTATTTGCATATAGGGCAGAGAAATATTAAAGCTCTCATTTGCATCAGCATACCACACCAATCGAATATTTGTGATCACAAATATGCCCAAATTGCCCTGCAGAATGATAAAAAAAAACTTTTGACATTTTCTGTGGTTTTTTGAAAAACTATTTTGATGCATTATTGCTAAAATTGTGGTTTTCTGTTTAATTTGGACGATTGGTTAGATAAATGTATTATTCATAGCATGATAACATCACATTATGTGGATTTTAATGAAGTTATGGGTTTTATTAGATAATTTTACTTTGTAATGCTGCTCTAGTTAACGCATTGGGTCATTGACGCGTTCGTTTTTATTGACTAGGTAAATTTGTCAATTTAAAATGTGCAATAAAATAAAAATCAAATTTAGCATTTAGAGAAAAAAGAGTTAGTCCAAAACCAGCCTAATAAAGAAACAGTCTAGTAATAAAAGTCCTTAATGCGTTTTAATACCAAATAACTTCCAAATATCCTTCAATTAGTTCACTTCCCAATCAAAATCCAAATCAAATAATCGATTAAAGAGGAAAGCAAATAAAAATAAACGAGAATTACGAACCTGATCGCTTGATAGATTATAAATGCCGCTCAATTGATTATACACTTGCTCCTGTGGTAGAATGTTTAATTGACCATCTGTCAATATAGCACTTCGCAATTTCAATTCGCGATATAACGCTGTGGCTTGATAAATTTTATAGATTTCGAATATTGACGCGAAGTGAGCTGGATTTGTGCCATAATCGGTGAAGATAAATTCGAAACGTTGCTTTGTGGTGCTTGTCAATACGTACAGTGCCTCTATATTCAATCGTAGAAAAATGTGTGGAGAAGAGAGAACGAAATGAAAAAATAAAATTTCAAATAAGTAAGTGAAAATTAAGTGTTATTTTTCCTCGATTGATGCTTTCGATTTTCCCTCATCTGTGTACTTTTTGGATATATTTTTTCCCAAGCTATATTTTCTCACAGCAAAGCTCTCAATATATTAATGAAAATGTCAAAGCTTCAATTTCATGACATTCAATTTAATGTGGTTGTTTCTATCAAGCTATGACCGACCAGGACGAAAAAAAAAATTGATATGTTGTGCAATTTTTTGTGTGTGAATGATTTTTGCTTTTGAATCCTTTTTATATTTATTTGATGCTGTTTTTTGGTATTTTTATGTCTGAGTTGATTTGTTTAAAAATACTAAATTCCATAAAGGAAATTTAAGATGATTCTGGCAAGATTCTGGTGGATTCGAACTCAAATTTATTTTTGCATAAGGTTTATTTTTGGTTCTGTAAAAATATATTCTTTACACCAATATTGAGCATGCCTTATTTAAATGCTTAGCGTAATCAAGTCTATGAATTTCGTTGCATAGGTTGAACAATATAATTTAAGTCTGTGGGCTGCTTAAATGTCCAAAATTGAATAACAACAACAACGAGTTTGCATGGCGTCTGCATAGTTCGAGACTGCTATCAAGTCCGAACAACGACATTGACACAATGCTGGATTATTAATTTTTTAAGCAAAATGTGTCATTACATTAAACGTTGTGGGTTCCATTCCATGGTGGACCTTGTTTTGTATTTTGATCAAAAATTATCCCTGATTCCCAAAAATGCGCCAAAAATCCTTTTTAAATCACAAAAATCATCCTTAAACTTTCTTCTCTATTTCGCATCAAAATTGAATTTGTACACAGAAATAAAATTTTCTCCTTCCTTTTCTACATGTTTATTTTATATTCTTTTTGCTTTTCCTTCTCTCTTCGAAAATTGACAGCAATTTAGTTTTGCTACTTCCTCGTTTTGATTGATAGGGAAGTCATATTAAGCATTTATAAAATTACCAACAATTTTAAAATCATCAAATTCAAAATTTGTAAGATAGGAATTTAATTAAATAATGAATTCAAATAAAATTAACTTCAACAATTCAGAAATAGTTGAAAATGTAAAACTTTTGAATTGTTCAAAACATGGAAACGACTTAAAGACATCTTGTAAGATGAATGAATGTAAAATCTGGTAAAATCTATCAAATTCTATCTCGAAAAATTTATATTGCATTCAAAAATAAAATTATTTTGTGAATGATGGAATTGAAATGTTTAAAATTGATGTCAAAATATTTTCAAGAAAATTCAATTTGAATCAAAAAGCATTAAATTGCTATTTCTGATTTTAATAGATGTAAGGATCGTTCACAAATGATGTTTATTACATTGGAGTACATTTCTCATATACTTAAATAGGAAAAGTATGGACAAGCGCATACTTATCAGCTGTTTAAGGAAGCTGATATACCCTGATATAGTGACAAGGATTAAAGTAAACAGGCTCCGATGGGCTGGACATATTATAAGGAGACCTGTGGAAGCTCCATTAAATAAGGTCTTTATATCTGACTTCGTAGATGGCAAGAGATCACGTGGGTGGCCATAGATGATAGCGACAGTATAGCGCTTGGTATTGGAAATTGGCAGACGGTATTCAGCGTTAGAACTAGTTATAGGTGTCAACTAAGGGAGGTCATGAATCACAATTGATCTGTACGACCAGCAAAGTAAGTAATTAAGTAGTATGGACAAGCAGTAGCTAGAAAAGATCTTAAAATATTTATTTAAATTCATGTCTATTAAGTATGCTAAATCTCCAGTAGCTTAAAAATGAGCGAGACAAGCTGGACCTTGACCTTGTTGCCAGTTACATAAAGATTCTTCCCTACCTCTCTGAATATTAAACATCATAAGTAAATGTCCCATAATAACTTCCACAGAAATTTATAGCATTCAATTTAATATCAAAAACCAATGTCTTGACAGAAAATTTCATGCATAGAAAATATTTCCATATGACAAGATTTATTGTCAGCATTATAATGGAAGAAGCACAAGATTTTACAAAATATTATTTTGTCGCTCGATATTAGATTAAATATAAGAACTTAAACCAGAAATTCTTCAATTGTCATAAGAATGTAAAGGGAAATAACTTTATGATCTACCTGTATTTGCACGAAGTCTTGATATCACGTTCTTTGCATTCATAGTCACGATTGCAAAAAATCCTATTGCTGCAATATGAAAGAAAGAATCAAAAAATCTAAAAGAACATCCAGCAAAGCCACAATTTGTCTTACATAATGTAAATTTAGGATTCGTTAGTGAATACCACATCATTCTCAAGTTGGAGACAATGACACGTCCAATATCTCCTGAATTCCCTTTAGTATCTTCAACCGAATCAATTACATCCAAAACTCGTTCTCCATTACGAAGATTCTTGTGGCTGTAAATGAAACGAAAATGATGAGACATGTCTCATAAATGTATATAATATTACGGATATGAATGGAGATTATTTTTGATGATATATTTTTGATCACATACATGTTTTGTACATCAAACTTTATCTCTCGATCTTCCCACACTTTCGACATCGTTTAGTTCACTTTTTTGTTGCTTCCTTTAGTGCTTTGCATTCAATTAATATTATTTAAAAATTCATTTTCATTTCCTTATTCGTACTCTTAAAAAAAATTTTTATTTTCCTTCCGATTCCATTCGATTTCTGTTAACAACATATCGTTTCCTGGGCAACGGAAAAACGTACACAGTCGTGGAAAAATGAATTACTTGCACATGACCTGGATTGTACGATATTTTTTTGTTGTGTACTAGCGTGAAAAATCGAATGAAGTGGAATTGAGGTTGAAAAAGAAGTTGACGTTAAAGATGAGCTGATACAGCGCATCTCCATGGATCTTGTTGTGCAATCTCTCGTGTTTTTGATACCTTTCTTGGTGATGTTAATGCTGATTAATTTTGATTATGAACTTTAAAGAGTATCGTTCACAAATGACAAACAATATTATGAGGAAAATATACCGCTTAAAGCTGCCATGACTATAAAAAGCTAATCAACCTAGTACTTCAACTGAAATGCTGAATTGAAACTCAAAATTATATCAGGCTCTATTTCACTACCATCCCTGAAAATATTATCACACGTAAAAGCATACAGCGACAGATAAAATATGAAATTGAAATGATAAATGTTTGAAAATGAAATAGAAGCATTTCAGTGGTCATTTTCAATAAATAAATTTCCTCTCCAATTTTTTATTACTAAAAGACTTCCAACAAGAGTAATGCTCTATTTTTCCATTGTTATCCTTATAGACTGTTTGAAAAAAAAAGATGCATGCCTGGACTGAATGATAGTGCATGGTTTACGTTATGCCATTGAATTTATCTTTACATGCTTTGCTATACTTCTATGCGAAACGTGTTGTAGGTATCCGGTTGCTGTCATAAGCGAGCATCTACACACATAATATATTTCATGGATAGATATTGTGAGTCAGTTGACAAAAGGAAAAGAATTGGTCCAAGGAACTTCTATAATAGGTAAAAACGGCAAGAATGCTTTTTGAGGTTTTTTACTTGTTGAAAATCGAGGTTTGCAGAGAATTCATACCATTTTAAGTGATAAAAACATCATAAGCCACACAAAATCTCCCATATCAACCTTAAAAACCAGCATTCGAAAACACTGTATACAGCTGCATATCTCTCGAAGCACACATCCATAATATTCCTGATATCTTGAATACACACACACAATTTATGTATGACTAGATATAATTCACAATAGAGTATCAGATAACACGAGAGTATTTTTTTTCCAGTAGTCACACCTAACTTTGCATGTGGTCAGAAAACAAATCGGAATTGCAAAAAATTCAATCTCTTAAGTAAAATTTATTCTGATTACATAAATGGTATGGGGAGGTTTTGTGTTCAGCTTTGATTTACAATTTGTAATTCAATTGAAAGCTTTGAGTGGTTATGAGCAAAGACATGGATAATAATGGAAAACAGAACTCTCAATTGAATTGGGTTTAATGGACGATCATGTTTCATCAAGCAAGGATATAAATATTTTCTATTGGTCAACTGCAATTTATGGTAAAATATTTTATTTTGTAGAAATTTGAGATTTAAATGTTCAAAAAAATTCTAAATTTATTTAAATCGTTCCTTAATTCTAGCAATTTATCTCCCAAATCACCATTTCATCATGTTTATCCCATTGCAATCTATTAACAATTCCCTCAAAAAAGTTTTCAACCCTTCATTAAGCATCCAATTGATATGTCTGGTAGCAATGATACAAAATTTATCAAGAAGCAGTTCCTTCTATCTCCCCTCTTCTTATTCCATTTGATCTATGTTTCAAGTGAGATTCATTTGGTATTAAATCCACGTATTATACATTCAACAGTCGTTAAGATAAGATTTTTCTGTTCAGAAGTTTACCTACGTATGTGAACTTGTGTATGTAGCAAAAAAATGTAGCAAAACGGTTATTGTAATAAATTTAAAATTTTCTCTATTTTTATTTCTGATACCCTTACCACAAGAAGACGGGGAAGATGTGAAGGAAATGCTTAAGACATTTCTGCTGATCATTGAAAAAATAACAGAAATGTTTAAAAATGTTTTCACCTGTAAAAACATGAACACTGTATTTTTGAAGGATGTGGGGTGTTATGTTGATGGTTTGGGACTGATGAAGATTATGTCGATGGAAAAAGCAGAAAATGGACTAAAGAAAAAGCTATTGTTTATTAAATTTTGTTATTTAAAACAGTCAAAAATCACATAGACCAAAAGTATGAACCTTCACTTAGTATGTTTGCATTCCCATAGCTGTATATTCCTCTAAACAGTAAAATGTTAAATATTAAGAACTCTCGAGAGGTGTTTAAAAACACAACCAACTTACACAGGGTTCCACAACGTTACAGTTTATTCATACAAAAATTCAAAAAAGCACTTGAAAAGTTTTAGTCAATTTTACTCGATTTTTTTGGGGGATTTATTTTAATGGTGCTATTCAACTAAGTTTTTCAATTTTATTCTAAACAAGAACATATTTAAATTGTGATCGAACCTTTTTGTCGATATAATTAGGGCTACTTGAGACAAGAAGCCCAAAACATTTTGGTTCATTCATTTATTGCGTAACGATTTTAGGGGTGGAGGTGGGTCTAAGATTTTGTTACGGATCAAACAAAACAAAAATATTGCACCTTTCCTTGCCCATTTACTCAGTAAAATTCTAACCACGACCCTGTGCATTACACAAGCTATATCTAGCTAGTCAAGTTCCTTGAATAAATGATTCGAAATGCGTCTTATTAGTCCACTTACATCACCTTATTCGACCTGAAATTCTTCCATCCTTTCCCATAATATCGTAACGATATGGTTTTGGTATATAAGATAAAACGAATGAAATTCATTGTGGAGATGAGCGTATGGGAATAATGTCGTATGCAATAAAAAAACAACAATGAAAGAATAAAAAAAAAGAAGATGAAAGTCTAAAAGCAGAGAGATAAAGATGGAAAAAATTGTATAAAAATGCTCTTAAATCAACAATCTTCGCTTACGTGGCTAAACATGTTTGGCAAAGCTTTACATCTGTTTGCATAACCATCATTTCTTTTCACATATACAAACATAAAATCACCTTTATGTAGCCTAAAAGAAAATAAAATATAAAAGTGAAGTAAGCAGCAAAAAAAATATAAGAAATGTTCGAAAGGAAAGAAAAAGTGCGAGAAGAAATCAAGATGAAGAAGAAGCAGACGTAAATCCTGTTGAAAATACCCGTGAGCTACATAAGAGGAAACTCAGGAAGCCAAAGATTTTTCCTTCCTATTATTTTCATTGTTACTTTTATTCCTATAATCATTTGTGCTCCTCTCACTTTAAATCCTTTTTCCTTCTCTTCGTGTCTCAAACCACAAAAAAATTCTAAAAGCTGGAAATTCACGGTTAAATTCTATGCTTCGTGTATGCCATTGAAACTGTTTACTTTGCTAGCTAAGCAGATAATTTTATTTAAAGAATGAGTAGGGGAAATTTCATGAGAATTTTTTTCAATTACATGGCACTGAATCTTTTTTTCCTGTGTAAATTTATGTCACTTACTTTTCAAGAGCATGCATGGAAGAGTAATGAGCAAGAAGTGGATTTATACTTTAATTGTTTGTGTGCTGCAGAATGTTTCTTGAATCTTAATTTGGCATATTTGCACTGGTTGCTCATCAAAAGCAGATAAGAGCTTATGAATAAGTAGCTGGAAAGAGTGAGAATGTGTCGAATTTGTTAAACTTGTCTTCATTCTTCACCTCTCCCGGAAGGCACACGACGTAAAAATGGCCGAAATATGATAAGAGAGACTGCATGAACGCGACACAATATCAGATTTCACCAAATCTGGTCATTTTTATGTTGGTGTCTTTCGGGTCTGATTTTACTTCTGTAGCAGCTTAGCATAAGAAATTGAAGGTTTATCAAGCACATGTCAATTTAAGAACTCATAATAATCTGTTTCCATCACATTTACAAAATCAAAACCCTTTCTGCTCTACTCAGAATTTCAGATAATCACAAGAGTGGATTAAAGAAACGTGGAATTGATTTTTATTAAAGAAAGGATTTTCTCAGAATTCTAACACCAATTCTAGATGATTGAAATGTTTCACACCGTGGCATTTTCTGCGGAAGTCAAAGAAAATTTTAAATGAAGATTGTTCCAAAAATATATATTTTACTGCCTTTGTAGTTTTGAAAGTTAAATAGATTTTGGATGTTTCAGGAAATTAAAGAAAAATCTTTTTAATTTCCTTTGCGATTTTTCCTGCGAATTTGACTTCTGGGCAATTCTCCAGATAAGTTTTTCAAAAAATCATCCGGAGAATTGATTTTTCTCGAAAATTTTCCATTACCAAGCATTAGTTTTACATTTAAATCGATGTAACATGGCAAAAACTATTATATTTCATCTATTTTAGTCTTTGAAAGTAACCATTAATTAAGTTATTTCAATTTTTTGTCAAAATTACTGTCAGCAAAAAATGGAATAATCATCCGGAGAATCGAAAATTGAAGAAAAGTAAACACTCATTTTTTATTATGATTATGCAGAAATGTAGTTTTTGAGCTAATCTATCTAACCATAATCATATCACACTCCAATAATTACTATTTAAAGAGAATTTTTGATTCTTCGGTGGATTTTTTTGCTGACAGTAAAAAAATTAAGCTTTTATTTTGCAAATCCATGAAAAAAATGCAAAGCAAATATTTCATAAAAATTAAATTTTAGTCTTAATTTAACACTTCATGGTTGAATTATTGTTGATTCAGTTAGAATCAATCGTAATAAACAGTTTAAAGTTGCTTTAAGCAATCAAAACAAAGAAATTGACAAGATATTTACAAAAAAAAAATTGAAAGTAAACAGTAAATGACTTTGGATTATAAAAGCTCTTTTTTCAAAAACTCAACTCATCTGGAGAATTGCCCTATAATCAGCTCACTGAACTTTCTGTATAAATTAATAATGTAAAGGTCTAAAGATTCAATAAACATTTTATTTTTATTTACGTTTATTTTTTTTAACAGAAATAGCAAATTAAGCTCATTGAATTTTCAATAAACACAAATATGCAGACAGATTCTTTGAACTTTTTTTAAGCATGAAAAAATTTATTGAAAAAATCATCATAAATAATTTAATATTTTGTGTTTTTTACCATTTTACATCAATAAATTGTAAAAATTATTGGAACATTTTTATAAAAGCTATACAGCTGTATAAAAAGCCATCTGAATTTCGGAGAACTGTTTTCAAAAAAAATCTTTTAAACGCAATATTGACATTTTCGCTGAAATATATACCATCAGGATGTTTATAAAATGATAACAAAAAGTTCACTGTAGGAAAAC